AGGATTCTTGGAGGGGGATCCACAGGGTACCTGGCTGGCCTAGGGGGAAGGAAGTAGAGGGGGTGCATGCTGGGGGGGAATATAGGGGTGTGGGGATGATGGGGGAAGGGAGGGAGGGGACAAGTTGTGGGAGGATGGGGGGTGCCTTCTGGGGGGAAAGGGAGGGATTGCGGGGCTGAATATAGGGGTGCCTTGCTGGCACAGGGGGAGCAGGGACACTGTCTCGAAGCAACCCCAGGACTGAAACCCCCCCTCCCCCCCAATCCACCCAGGGCGAAAAGCAGCAGCACGTCTGGGCGCTGATCAAAGGCACCTCCTACATCAAATCCCAGCTCCGCAAGGACCAGGCCGAGGTGAGACACCCCCACCCGCCCGCACTAAGGAGGAGGCTGTGGGGCAAGACTGAGGGGTACCGGCAGGGCTGGGGGAGTGGAGCCCAGGGCTGGGACTGAGGGGCACCAGCATGGTCTCCCCCCACTCTCTCTCAGGTCCAGGCCTTCGTGCAGAGGAAGCTGCTGGGCCCGGAGCAGGACGTGACGCTGGAGTCGCAGCGGCTGCACGGGGGGGGTGGAGCGCGAGGTCCGGCAGCTGGGGGCCATCGCCCTCCCCTGCCTTCTGCGCCGCAGCCTCCTGGGGTGAGTCCCCCACCCCCCGCTCTGTCTGAACTGCCCCGTCCCCCCCGTCCTCTCTTGGGGTGCCCCAGGGGCTGGATCCCCATATGGGGGGAGCTCCCGGCCTTAGGGGGAGTACCTTGGATGGAGGGCTGTGCCCCCCATCCCCCCACTACTGGACTTGGGGTATGCAGGATTCCTGGGATCTTGTCCCCCCTCCCCCCGCCTGTGCCCCATTGAAACGGGGCTCGGACCCGCCCTGAGATCTGCAGGTTCGAGGGGGTAGGTGCCCGCAGAGCAGTACTGATACTTTGCTTCTCTGCCCCATGCTGGGGGCGCCGGTCCTCTGCGAGGAGCATCAGTACTTGGGCAGTGGTATTAATGCTGCAGTAGCGGCATCGAGACAAGCAGGAGCGTTGGTGCTGGGGAATACTAATGAAAACCCGGTGTTCTCTGGGAGGAGAGCTAATACCCTGAGAATGGGGCAGCGGCTTTAATACTCTGGTGGGACCGTGAATACTCCCTCCCGGTTAATAATAATCTGAGAGCATCGGTACCCGACATTTGGGGTGGGAGGATTAATACTTTCTGGGCTGATAATGCTCTAGGAGCATTGGTAGCCTATAGCGGTGAGAGGAGCATTGATACTCTCTGAGGTATTAATACTCTGCACTGGTATCTGCTCTCCAGGGGGTACCAATGCTATATACCCTGGCAGGCGGCTGTGACGACGGGGCCCCGCAGCCCTTCCCAGGGAGCAGGGGGGGAGGTGGGCTGGGCTGGGGTGCCTGGTGAGGATGGGGGGGGTGCCGGAGAGTGGGCGGTTCAGGGGCTGATCCTTGGCTGCCATGACCCAGTCGTCCCCCGCCTCCAGGTCCCAGCAGGTCCCGGCCCACGAGCTCTCCATCCATAGGCTGGGCCGGACGGCGCTCGCCCAGCACCGGGCCTTCCTCACTGTGTGCCAGGCTTCCGGCTTCCCTCTCTACAAGGTGAGACGCACACTTGGTGGAGCAATGGGGCAGGGAGCGGGGAGGTCTCTGCACAGGGCAGGAGTGAGGCCCTCTTCTGGGGGGAGATGGGATGGGGGGCCCTGGAGGAGGGGGTGGGGCAGGAGCACCCCC